AAATTCCCCCCGTTTCAACAAATATCCTATAAAATATAAATTAGTGCCTAAACTAGCATATAATTAGGATTAAATCATAAGGAAAAAAATCGGTATTTTTTGTGTCTGCGAAAGTTTATAATACGAAAAAAGTATTTTACAACCTTAGCCCATCTCTAAAATCTATAAGATCAGATCTTACTCGGTTTTTGTTCATATTTATTTATTATTGTTGAATACTATTAAATATTACCCCTTTACATTCACCTTCTGATTTAATTTTATGAATTGGTTCGTTGGTTCACTGTTTCGCAATTTTATATTTCCTAAATTTTATTTTCAAAATAGAAAATAAACTTTCGGGCGCATCCGAATTCTGCCACAAATTAAAATTTTACCTGAATTTTAACAACTTAGTGAATAGTCCGAACTCTGCCATGACCATTAAGTTTTATCCGTATTAGGGATTAAGGATTTAAATATTTTTTCATACCTAAAGACCTTTCTAAAGAGGTACAAAAATTTAATAAGTAATTATTAATATATTTTCTCAAAAACAAAATTGATGGAATTCTTAGAATATTTTGACGATTGCTCGGTTTTAATATTTAGGGAAATATTTAGAAGGAGAAATAGGTTACTTGTTTCTTAATAAAGGTTTTATGAAACAGTTTATCATCTACCTTAGTTGAGTTAAAATGAATAACAGTGCAGCTACTATGTTTAGTGAAAGAGGAAATAAATTAATTGTGTCAAATAATTTTAAGTTTTCCAAAGCTAGTACTAGCAAATGTGGAAAGATTCGATGGAAATGCTGTAACGCTAAATGTACAGCTAGAGTGTACTCCCACGTCTCCAATGAAGACGTAATAATAGATGGCGCTAAAAGTCGTTTCAGTAAGCTTTTAGGAACACGTGTTTTCTAATCTATTTGTTTATTGTGTGATTGCACTTTGTTAGGAGACGTTTGTAAACAGCGAATTTCTGTGTTTATATTCAAAATGGATATTCGATTCGAGTGAGTAATATTTTTTGGTTATATTATTATTTTTTTGCGTAATTTCGTAATAAGTATAAAATAAACACATGAAACTTTAGTAATAATGTTGTAAAATAAATAAAATTATTTTTTGAGGTACATTCATAGTGACCGTTATCTCAGTGTTGCCATATGGCAACGCTAGGTCAATACGGAACTATTTAATTATTTCTATCTTTATTTTTTTCAGGCGGGGTTTTACTTTAGAGGAAGCTCTCCAAATGGTATATGAAGATGATTTAGCAGTGGATCAGATATTCATTGATCCTCCTGAGCCTAATATTCTTACAGATGAAGAATCGGGGGACGAAGATGATTTCGATATAAATCGATTACCAGGACGTCAACTGTCTGCAAGGGCTGAAATTGTGTTTCTTGGATATCTGGAGATTTAGAGGTTCCACCAAAACATAATAAAATGATGATTCCTGATAATAAAAATGGACTGTACAAAAATATGAATCCAACTGAACTATTTGAACTTTTTTTTGATGAGAATGTGATAAATTTGCTGGTAGAGGAATCAATGAGGTATGCTTCTTCTAAAAATGCACCTGATTTTGTTGTAACCAAGGATGAAATAAAATGTTTCTTGGGAATCTTACTGGTGTTTGGCTACAATCCACACCCAGGCAAGCGATTTTATTGGGATTCACGCCCCGACATGAATAATCAGGCTATTAGTCAATCGATGAGAACAAATAAATTTTTTCAAATAATGAAATACATCCATTGTGCAGATAATAATAACATAGATGTAACGGATAGTTTATAAACTAAGACCTCTAATGAATCTACTAAAAGGAAAATTTTTGAAGCACTTTATTCCATAAGAGAATCTAAATTACGACGAGTCCATGGTGAAGTATTACGGTCGTCATGGATGTAAACAATTTATTCGGGGTAAACCGATTAGATTCGGATTCAAAATGTGGTGCATAAATGCTGCTTCAGGGTACTTATTGAATTTTGATATGTATCAACGCAAAGACTCTAAGTCTACAGATGTAGACAAACAAATTTTTGGAAAGTGCACTGCACCTTTTATCTCTATGCTGGATGAAATTGAAAAAGAACAAAACTTTCAATTTAATTTCTATTTTGACAATCTATTTACCAGCATGAGTTTACTCAAATATTTGAGATTGAAAGGATACAACGCTGCCGGAACTATCAGACAGAATAGGGTACCAAAGTCCTGCCCTCTTACATCTTCAAAAGTTTTAACCAAAACCGGACGCAAAGGAGATTATTGTTCTGTGATTGAAAAAAGTAATTGCATTATATTCATAAGGTGGTTGGACAATAATGCAGTAACAATGGCTTCGAATGCTTATGGTGTGAATCCTTTGTCTCAAGCAAAAAGATATTCGAAAGCCGAACACAAACATATTCAAGTACGAAGACCTTTTGCCATTAGTCAGTATAATAGTGGAATGGGTGGAACTGACCTAATGGACGGAGATGTCAGTCGATATAGGATTGCAATACGTTCAAAAAAATGGTGGTGGGTGATATTTACATGGTTGATTGATGTATCAATTGTAAATGCTTGGGTTATTTATCGAAAATATGTGGGAACAAAAATGCCACAACTGGACTTCAGACGTGAAATTGGTAATATATATCTATCTAGATATGGAACTGCGCCTCAAGGGGGAGGAAGGCCAGCTACATCAAGACATAGCATTTCCTTGAACAGAATTAGTGATGATTTAAGATATGATGGAAGAGATCATCTTTTGATACCCACCCCAGAGAAAAAAAAAGAAGAGATGTGCAGGTGAAGGATGCTCGTCAATCATTCGTACAATGTGTAAGAAATGTAATGTCGGGTTATGTTTTGAATGTAATTTTATATTTCATCAAAAATGATTGACAAACCTGAATAAATGTTTTTAACAATGCATGTGTAGTAATTTTCTAAAATAGTCTGTGTGATCTCATAAAGACCTAGCGTTGCCATATGGCAACGTCCATTTTTAAAAAAATGCAAAACTTTTTTTGAAAATAATGAATAATTTGGTTTAATTTAACTCAATGGAGATCATATTTACCAAAAAATTGATAATTTTCGAAAAAAAAATTAATTCGGGCTTTAATGGGTTAAATTTTAAACCAATAGAAATTGTGGTAGATTTTGAATTAAGCATTCACAACGCAATATATAAATATTTTGGGAGAGATCTTATTCTTTTGGGTTGCAAATTTCATCTCTGCCAAGCATGGTTTCGGAAAATTCAAGAATATAATTTAGTTCCGGAATATAAAGAGGAAAACTCTGTGATTGGTAGATATTTAAAACTTCATTTTGGTATGATGTGCCTCAGTTCTGAGGAAGTTGTAGATTTTTTTAATGAAGAATTGCACTATTTGATACCAAATGATAAAAGAGTAAATAAATTCCGCAATTATTTAAAACAAACATATGTCAACAATTTATCAATATTCCAACCAAATATTTGGGCAAATAGTGCAGATTTTTTTAAGACACACCCCAATATAATGATGCATTTTACACGTGTATTGTTAGAGTTCCAAGTAGAGACTTATTCAAAAATGCGGTCAGCTAACAATAATCAGAAAAAAACTAAAAAAAATGTCCAAACGAAAATCAACACAATACAAGAAAATATTGAAAAATATAAAAATAAATCTATTTCGCGATTTATTTGTTAAAATAATGTTATTTAAAAATCTTCCCAATGTCTAACTTCATTTTACCTGTAAAGCTTTTATTATGTTTGTAATTTTCAATTAACTGTGTATTGCAATTTTGTATTCTTGTGGTTTTTTATACTAATTTTATACGGTTTTTTTTTTAATAAATTCGAATATTTTCATAAGTTTTTTTTTATATTATTTCATATTTTTATTCATGTATGTATGTAGCTATGTAAGTACCACAAATAGTAAACAATATCAGAAATGTCTTGGATACCTACATACCCTATAATGATTTAGGAACCTAATCTCTAAAACTGTAATCCGTGGCAGAGTTCGGATATCAATTTTTCTTTACCTGAAGTTTGTGGCAGAATTCGGAAACCCCGAAACTTTCTCGAAAAAAATATATAAGTATTTAAAAATATAGGAACCGCATTATTATATAAATATTTTTGAGAGTGAAACATATAAGGGTTAATTAGGAAGCAAGTTTCAAGAATGAAAATATAGAGTTAAAAACGCAGTTAGATATTATTAGAAAACTCCTAGATCGTGCAGAAGTTTGAGGAAAAATGTGATGTTACATATTATTATAATTATATTTTTTTTATTTCTACACCTATATTTATTAAGCAAATTTAATTCAAAATTTCGTCTTTTTACTGATAACGCTGACTTTTATCTGTAAAAAATGCGGTCTGTTGTAGCGATAAAAATTCGATGGTTTCGGCAAACTTGTTACTTTTCAGGAAAATTGATTGAGATGAAGTGCTGATTTTAAATGAATTCATATAGATTTCAAATTATTGTGCTAGGTTGAACTTGTACTTTTCCGAATTTTTATTCGAAAAGTTGTATAAGGAAATTATCCAAAAATTACCCAAAAATGATAATCCCTTATTGCCGAAACCACGAAATTTTTTTAAAAATTGTTAGTTTTTAATATATACAGGATATATGCTTAATACTTTGCTAATCTCACAATATTTTATTTATAGACCTACATTTTGAAAGGGCGTAGAAGGGCCAAATTTATTTAATTTTTTTTTATTTCTAAAATTCCGTGTTTGAATACAGAATAACGTGTTTGAATAAGGAATAACGTGTTTAAATATAGAATAATACCGTGTTTAAATGTGAAATTCCGGGTTTAAATAGGGAATTTCAGAAAGATAAAAAATTAAAAAGTAAAAAAAATTAAAAAATTGTTTAGTATGATTAACAAAATCATTTATACAAGACAAAGTCAAACGAAAACGTTAAGTCAGCAAAAATGTATTATCCGGAATTAATGTGAAAGTTACTTTCATAAATTCCGCTGTCTATTATTTTTACAATTCGACGCTCCATCCCCCCAGAATGTGTTAACAAAGTTGGTTTATTAGTAATGGTTAGTGCAAAAATTAAATCAGTTAAGAAGCACAGAGTTAATTTGGTTAGGTCACAATAGATTCGAACTTTGAAACACTTTAAATCTAGAGATCAATAAATAAAAAATTTAAATATGTAACAAAAAATAAATAGTATAGGTTTCAATAATAAATATACAAACATCAATGGCACAAATAAATTATTTTGAAAAAAAAAAAAATAAGTAAATTAAAATACTTAAACTTCCGGCATTAAAATGTGCCGTGTCTGTAAACTTTCCTTCAGCAAGTGGAAAAGTTGCAATTGTTGCTCCGGTTTTAGGTAGAGCACCTGGGTCAACAGCTTTTGAGGGCTGTCCCTTTGAATGAAACTGCTGATATAGACGTTAACGAAAGTAGCCATTAAAAATTGACAATCGAAACGGTCCATAATACCGCCATGACCAGGTATGACATCTCCAAAGTCCTGCGAAATTAAAATGTGATATTTCACTGTCATGTAAAAGCAATTTGTAGTATTTAAATGTTGATTTCTTTTTTATAAGGTGCAGTTGTAAATTAGTATACAAACTATCTACAGGGTGTACCAATAAAAACTCCAAGGCCGGATATTTTGGTAAGTAATAGAGATATTTTAATTCTGTAAAAGCCAGTTCATAGAGTGCTAAGAGAGCTTCAGTTTTAGACATAAATTAATTTTAAATAGGTCAATATGTAGATGGCGCTGTGCTCAATATATTTTTTTCGATGGGAGGATCTTTCTTATATAACGCATCTTGTAAAAAATGCCTTTTTAAGCAGATATTGTTCTATAAACTAATTCGATAAATCTAGCCATTATTGATATACAGAGTGGGTCACTCAGAACAGTTTCATCCTGGTTTTCAGCATTAATCATTGTATTTTAAGAAAATGCTAAAACAGGTCGATTTTTATTCCAAATTAAAAACATTTTTACAATACATACATCCGTCATGTGTCAACCCCCTCCCTTGTACTTCTCCTATCCTTAATTTTAAATAGGTAATGTACAATGTATGACACATCATTGAAAAGGTAATTTAATGGAGAATTCAGAAATATTTCTGTATATTGCGTTACTTAAATTTTATCGCCCTCTAACGGGATAAAAAACTACTACGTATTATAGAGTGTGACACTACAATGTGTAGTATATCATTAAAAAGGTAATTTTATAGGGAATTTAGAAATATGACTGTTCATTGCGATACTTTTAATTGTACCGCCCTCTATTGGGATAAAAAAATTGTACGTATTATAAAGTGTGACATCTTATTTGAAAACAAATTTAATTACTAATTCAATGCACCACATAGCATTAATATAAATATCCTCCATATTGCACTTGCAATAGTTTGAAAATTATTCATGCATTATTTTAAACATTATTACTAACTTTATTTTGTTGCAAGTGCAATATGGAAATATTTATATTAATATTATGTGGTGCATTGAATTAGTAATTAAATTAGCTTTCAAATGAAGTGTCACACTTTATAATACATTACAGGTGTTTTATCCCGATAGAGTGCGCTAAAATTAAAAATATCGCAATAAACAGTCATATTTCTGACTTCCTCATAAAATTACCTTTTCAATGATGTGCCGTACATGATACATTCCTTATTTAAAATTAAGGGGTTGGAGAAGTACAAGGGAGGGGGTTGACACATGACAGATGTCTGTATTGTAAAAATGTGTTCACTTGGGAATAAAAATCGACTTGTTTTAGCATTTTCTAAAAATCCAATGATTAATGCCGAAAAACAGGATGAAACTATTTTGAGTCGCCCACTTTGTATATCAAAAATGGCTAGATTTTTCGAATTAGTTTATAAAACAAAATCTGTTTAAAAATGCATTTTTTACAAGATGCGTTATATAAGAAAGATCCTCCCATCGAAAAAAATATATTGAGAACAGCGCCATCTACATATTGACCTATTTAAAATTAATTTATATCTGAAACTGAAGCTCTCTTAGCGCTCTGTGAACTGGCTTTTACAGAATTAAAATATCTCTATTACTTACCAAAAAATACTAGAATACTAGTAGGTCTATTAACAGGGCATTGTAGGCTTAACATATGTTCAATATCGGTCTGACAGAAGAGGCCTTGTGCCGATTCTGTCAAGAAGAAGAGGAAACGGCAGAACACGTATTGTGCTACTGCGAAGGTCTAGTAAGACTGAGATTCCTTACACTTGGAGAAGAAAAACCAAGGGCAACTAGCTATACCGGAGGACTACTTCCCAGTCTATGGAGTCTACTACAAAAGACCGCATTAGACAAGGTACTCTAAACAATTATTAAAGGATATCCACAATAGATCTGAAAAGGTCGAGGTGGGGGAGGCCACATGGCCCATAGTCCTAATTAAATCTAAATTACTTACCAAAATATCCGGCCTGGGAGTTTTTATTGGTACACCCTGTATACAATACTAAATAAAAAATAACTTACCTTAATTTTAAAAGCTCTCTTAAAACCAGAAGCGAAAAATCCACCAAATGGTCCAATTACGCTACTGAAAACTGACAATGACAGCGAATGTAGCATGAATGGATAAATAGACACGCTGTCAGCTAAACCAAACTAAAAAAAAACAAAATAAACATATTCAAAATTGTACTAAATATTAGCAATGTCTTTGTTTATATCCATGTATATTTTTGCTCTAATTATATAAAGAACTTTCCTCTGATATTAAAAAAATCAACTTATGCAACTTATTTAAAAAGAACATAACCGAATGGATTCTAAGTTTCCATTCACATAATTAAAACAATTTCTTAATTCAAGCATATTCTGACATAGTCTTAAAGATTATTGCCATTCTTAACAAGATAACTAAACATTTATATTGTTTTATTACTTTATTTTGTAAAAATATTGTTATTTTAGCACAGAAATTAAAATGAAAATTCGGACCTATCACCAGGATTTTTTTTGTCGCTTTTTATTTTGATTTACCTCCATAACAAATTATTAACGTATGTATTTTAGATATTTTTGTATTTTCATGGTAAAAATTACTATTACTATGTCTCAATTAGTGACTAACGTTATCTATTAACGCAGCGTACATGTAACTGATAAAACCACTCATTTGCAAATTTGTTTACTTACGGTTGTTAAAAATCCTGCCAAGAACTCTGGCAATTTATAATTTGTTGATCTGAAAAGTAAGCTAGGTTCACATTCCATTGTCATCCTTCCTAAAGTTTCATTGTACTCAATGGGACAAACAAAATATGAATACTGGCACATCAAATAGGACATCTGAAAATTTTTAAATAGATTTTTTAAGTTTTTTTAATTAGAAATTTTATTTATAACTAATTAGATCTTTTCCCCTATGAAATTATGAAAAATACACCCCATATCCCCAAGCTGAAAACAAACAAAAAAAATTAAAAAGTTGAGAATTAAAGAAAGAAAAATGGTTGCGTCGACCAGGGATCGAACCTGGAACCTTCGGACTGTAGCCGTTCATGTACGATAGCTCAACTGGTGACAGAAGTCTCAAGAAAGATTTATTCATGCACCCTTACAAAATTCAGATAGTGCAAGGATTGAAGCAAACAGGCTATGTTGAAAGACTTTTACTCGTCAATGAAATGTTAAACCTGTTTACATCTGTCAACATCTTGTTCTCCGATGAAGCTCATTTCCACATTATTGGCTATGTCAATAAACAAAATTGTCGTTACTGGGGTGAAATAGTCTTAAAAAAAAAACATCAAAGGCATTGGCATAGCCCAAAGGTCACAGTTTGGGTCGCCATTTCAGCATTTGGAATTATCAGTCCGCTAGTTTTTGAAGATGATCCCAGCAACGCAATCACGGTGAATTCCCAACGTTAGTTCGATATTTTTCGTGATTTTTGAATCTGATGAAAAAACCTGGTTTCAACAAGACGGAGCCATCAGTCACACTTCGAGGTCGCTCTTTGCCCAATATTCAATAGGCTCTTTTTCCTGGAAAATTGATTTCTCGAAGAGGAGACAAATTGGACTCTCCGAAGACCGGATTTGACTCCATGCGACTTTTTTAAAAGGATAACTTAAACGTCAAGTGTATCGCAATCTAGAGGACTTGAAGGACAATACTCAAGACAGAAATTGGCAAAAATGAATTTCCAAGTTTTTCTTTAATGTAATTGGTATTGTTTTTTTTTTTTAATTTGAATTCAATAAGTGAAAAACTAAGAGACCCTCTCTATATATAAACACATCTTTTGTATATATTTGGGTTACCTTCACGTAAAATGCAGCGAAGTTCTGAAGTATATTATGATTTATTTTTGCAAACTGGTCATCACTTTCTTTTTTATTTTGATATTGTATTTCTTATTTTGTTATTTAATATTTACATTCTTATTATTAACCTCTTCAATATACAAATTTTCTCATTTTACCTAATCTGTATATTCAACAATTTATGAGATTCCCTTACTTTGATCAACAAAAATAAAGAATTGAACTGCATTAAATTAAATCATCGTTTTATCTACTAACAAATTACAATCGAAGTCTTACCATAAATCCAAAAATGACAGTCGATATCCCTCCGCCAATAAATCCTTCCCAAGTTTTCTTCGGCGATAATTTTATGAGAGGCGTTTTTCCAAAGAAGAAACCAAAAACGTAAGCCATGATGTCGTTGCAAATGATCATCGAAACCGGCACAATGAACCATATCAATCCTTCGAATATATTTTGAATAATGAGATAGGACTGAGTTACAACGATTAAGAGAGCCACATGCGTCCAGGCGAAGAGAGAAAATTGTTTCATGTAATATTTTTTTACCAAGCTGAGTACAAATAATACAAAACCGCCACAGTAGAGAGAAAAGGATATGAATCTGTGGTAGGTTACCAAAACCCGTAGAAAGTCCTGCAAAAAAATTATAAATGTACCTATATTTTGTTTTAAAATTTTTAAGCGACAACTATTACTAATCTTTTATTTATCAGTTATCATACAATTAAAAAATAAATAGTATTTTAAAATAAACAAATGATTAATTGTTTTTTAAAGTGTGTCAACATTTTAATTTACAAATTTATGTAATGAAACTTACCGTTCGATTAATGACGACACCAAATTTTTCAACTAAACTTTCTCCATAGAAGAAGTAGTTGGAAGTAATTAAGAAATACCATGATAATGATCTAAACCAAGGAAGACCATGTATGCGGTAGACAGTATATCCAATATTGATGATTTCTTGAAAGCATTTTACTTGTACTATTAGAGTCTAGAAATAAAATCAGATATCAACAAAGTGGTAATGTAGGAAAAGTGAGGTCAGAACAGAGGAGAAAAAAAATCGGTCATAGGACCTAAAGAAATAGGAAGAAGAGAAAAAAATCAAAGAAAAGTTGTAGAGAAAACTATTTTTCGCCTATGCGCCCAATCGACATTTCGAAATCCTCTCATAACTTAAGTTAAATTATCTATAATTTGGCAACTACGCATTTTCTCATTATGAGATTTGCATTTTTGTTTACCAAGTGTATTATTTAGAAATTATTTTCCAGTACTATATAAATAAACTAAAGTTAAATTAAATTTATAACTTGTTAACTACGCATTTCCTCACTACTGGATTTGGGTTTTTGTTTACTGGTTACCATGACAACAATTTCTACATATCAGATTTCAACTAAAAGAAAGTTGACCCGAAGTTGGAAAAATTTAATCACCACCTATTAACTACTCGTTCATTTTATATAGAGCATCGCTCCTCTCGTCTCGCAAATATTCACATTAAATAAAGCATAATTGGTTACTTTTTCTAATTTTGAGTAGAATTTTGTTTGGTAAAAAATGAATCATCCATTATCTGTAGTTCCGTATCAAGATTTTATAAAATAAATATTTAGAAATAGTGGCTAGTTTCATTACAATTTGATACTTTTAAAATATTTATCAACACAACCGTTTTCATTTTCTTGTCAAAGTTTTCAAGTAAGTGGGTTATTTTGTGTATATTGCTAAGAATCTCATGAAATGAAAATAAACTTCTGATACATTTATTAATTGTTAGGAATTCTATAAATAAATGACTACTGTTGGATGCATTCCATTAAATAATTTAAGCATACTGAATAGAGCAATTACACAATTATATTTATTTCCAGTAGGTAATATAATTTATGTAAATTACAGTTATTGCCAATTAATCAACATATATGATTGAAAAAAATATTTTTTAAACAGTATCTAGATTTTCAATATTTCCACTCGTTATTTATAAATTTAAAATAAAAGTAACTTATAATATGAAATATAACCAATTTTTACAGCTTTGTAGGTGTGAAAAGTTAAAATTATACTACAAATTAGTATGTTGGTCCAATTCGAGTGTTAAAAAAAAAACTTATTTCGAAAGAAAAATGTAAGCCAGAAGCAAGTGAAAAGGGATCATCAGATCGAATTGTACGATTATACCAATTTGTAGCTTTATTCTAACTTGTCACAGGTAATCCTTAATAACAAATTCATTAAATGTTTTAAAGCTTTTTATACATCATTTATATGATGAGAGATGTTTTGTTTATTAATACTTACACCTTTTACCCATATATGTAGAAAAAGTAATTAGAGGAAAACACTTTAAAAAAAATTACATTTTAAAATGTAAATGAAGTAAAATTAAATTATCTTTTTTTTTATTCATTCATTTATTAAGCAGAATGACTAGTAATTTAGGTGAAGGTAAAAACATGAGAATAAAGCTTGCAGATTAAACATAATGCCTGTTTTGTTAGTATAATTTTTACTAGAAATTACCAATAATGGTATATTTAAAAATAGCGGTTTCACTCGATTTAGCATTCTTTATTACCGTTGTCTTTTTCCACTGTCATTAAATGAATAAAAAATATGAATTCATTTATACATTTAGAAAAAACTTTTCTAATCATTCTAATAGCATCTCCTCCTTGTAACTATTTGTAGTTCAAAGAAAGCAAAAATTATAATATCGTCTCTTGTTGATACATCAATTTATTATAGTCATGTTACACAACAAATAAAAATCACAAATTAAATTTGATTCATTTTTAATTTTATACCCAAAATAGGTTTTAGTATTCAATTATTTTTTTTAATGATCAATATAGTTTTAGAGAAAATAAAATATAAATAACGTTATTTTAATGGCTTAAAAATTACAAACTCTGATAAATATTTATTTATTTATGGGTCAAAACCCATTTTACAGATTAGTATATAAAGATCCATAACAAATGTAAAATGACTGACATTACAGCGAGTTATAAACTTAAAAGCAAGAAGAGAATTAGGGACAATATAATATTCTGATGTTTGTTAGCCAATCGTAAAATTCTGGATATTGTCTCATTTTGCCGTAGTTAGTGTGATGAAAAGGTATACGAAATAGTTCAACATTCCACGTACGTCTTTCATTTACATTGAAAAGTTCAATAGTTCGGAATTGGATATAACACCACTTAAAATTTTATATAAAAAACATAAGTCAAATTCTAATCTCCTGTTTTGCATGTTTAATTGGAAAATAATATTGTCATGATTAATATCTATTCCGTTTATGTCCATTTTGAAAGCAAACATGTTCGTTGTAAATAACATAATTGGAGGACCAAACAGAGCAGCAGTATTCTAAGTTAGACCTGACCAAAGTCGATTACAGCAGTTTAAATGTATTAATAGAAAATTGTCTACTGTTCCTCTGAATAAATCCTAACATTTTAAATCCCTTAGAGGTTATTTGACTAATGTGAGTGTTAAAGGAAAGCACACAATTATTAATTCTGTATGAATAGTGAACTGGAGAGGTAATTCTAAAAAAGGTGAACTGATGACATTTTTAACATTTAAGTACAAAGCATCTGTTTCATTGGAAACTGATCTAAATATTTTCACATCATCAGCAAACATGAGATATTTACTGTTAGAGATGACACTAGAAAGATCATTAATAAATAAATTAAATAACAACGGACCCAAATGAGATCCCTGCAGTACACCTGAAGATACTGTAATTGCCTCCGATTTGCAGTTGCCATATTTAACATATTGAATCCTGTTTCGCAAATAACTATCAATCCAATTTAATATAATATCACCAAACCCATATCCTCTTAGTTTAACAATTAGTATGGCATGGTTGACTCTGTCAAATGCTTTTGAAAAATCCGTATAAACAGAGTCAACTTGACACCTCGATTCTAAGGATTGTATGATAAAATAGTTATAACTCACAAACATTTTCTGCACTGAAATAAAAATAACATTAATTATATTACTTACTGTGACCATAAGTGCAAGAGGTCCTCCATATATCACAACTAAGAAGAATGTCAGCATAAGAAAACTAAAAACTCCTCTCACTATCCAGTTGCGCCATTTATCTGGTAAATCTTGTAGCAGCACTTCTAAACCAAATGGAGCTTTGTCTGTCCCAGTGGGAATATTTGATGATAAGTCAATACCCTTGCCATTTTTGTCATCTTCACTGTCAATCTAAAATAGTATATTAATCAATGAGCATACTATAATTACTATACAAAAATAAATTAGTGGTAGACAAGAAAGATTCATTTTTTCAATATTCAATACCACCAAAGAAAAGGAGAAAATAATAGAAAAACAAGAATTTATATAGACAAAATTCAATTCTAAATTGGTGATTCCACCTTATCACAATTGAGGACCTCACCTGCACTCTAATAGTACCTAGTAGTAAAAAAAAATAAACGATTGAATTTTGAACGAGAGACCTGAAGACATATTGAGACATTGAATTTTCAGGGTTGTGAAGCATTGAACATCAAACAATTTATTTATGTAGGCCCTTTTCTTCTTAGGCCTGCCCAGGTAAAAAAAAATCCCTGCTTACCTCTTAAGTCTTTCCAAGTAAAAATATGTGGCCCCTTTAATTTGACCGCCTTACCCCTGCTCATGTAAAGCATTTGGATCCTTTACCTCTTCAGCCTGCACAACTAAAAATAGTTGGTCCATTTGTCCCTTACACCTCTCCATGTAAAAATATGTGTTCTATATAGCCCTTAAGCCTGTCCATCTTAACAAATTTAGCATGTTATCCCTTAAGTAAAAATAGATTTGGACCCTTTATCGTTTTAATCCTAATACAATTAGTATTAGGGATGACATAATTTGTGCTCCAAATAAAGTTGTTTATAGACTAATAGCCTTATTCATAGAGGAAATTTAATATTAATAATCCAAAATCAATGACAGAAATTACATCACATTAATGATATGAGATCCATTTTGGCAAAAATCGATGTTACTTCACCTTCCTGAATGTTATTCACGTAAAATTCACATGTATTTCAACTTAAAGCAATTGTTTGCACTATCAATAAATACGCACTCAAATCATTTATAAAACGTCTAAAATACTTTGTATAATTTGACGTTTAAGAATGGCAGCAATACAGAAGAAAAGAAGTTGTTTTACAGTTGGCAAGCATGGCTATCTAGTAAAATCAGCTCCAGAAGAAATGCACAACATTTAAAAAACCCTGATATGTAAAACACTAAAGTTCTCAGCTGAAAGATATTATCAAAATATTATCAGCGCACATAAATACGCAAACAAGCACAGACGACCAGGTGATTTTTAAGCTATTGCATAGCTTTTATCGCCGGATTTGAGCGCGGAGACTAAATCAAGATATTCCGTAACACCGTAACGAAAAAAAAACCTAACACCCCCCACTCCGACCGGCACAGTGGTGCGGCGTTAAACAATATTAACTTCTCATTTATTGAATAAAAGAAAATCGAAAAATCGAAAATCGTAAAATCAAAAAAATCGAAAAATTGAAAATCGTAAAATCAAAAAAATCGAAAAAGTAATTCCGTAACGAAAATAAACCTAACACTCCCCACTCCGACCGGCACAGCGGTGCGGCGTTGAAAGCCGCGCAACGTCTAACGTCGTTTGAGTTCGGCAGACTTCGGCACGGTGTTTGTGTGCGTGCGACTAGATGTATGCGTATAGACTAGCTCATAACTGATTCTATCTCTTTTAGACACAATTTCGGAAAAATTTAATTTGAAAATGAATAATGATCCACAAGAATCCACAACAAAATATGGGACCACCATTGACGCGGTATTTTCCAGTTATTTAGAGGATATCAAGTCTCAAATTTATGTTTATTATTACAGTTATCATAAACCTATAGTTTCAATGATAAAAATTCCTGAATAACCTACATGTATTGTAAGATAATAAAAATATTTTAAACAATATTACTTCTCATTTATTCAATAAAAGAAAAAAATTTGTTTTCCTATCAGTCACCACGCTCAAAAAGTGTAACTTGAATTAATATCAAAGAAAAAACTTGAATTAATATCAAAGAAAAAAAAATACTGCATAAATAAAATAAATAAATAATTATAATTGGATAAGTTGATAAAAAATGCTATGCAATAGCTTTACCGCGGCAGTCCCCGAGTGCCACACGTATTTTTTTGTGTTTTCGGACTTAGAATGGCTCCAAACTTGGAGAGAAGTGTTTAAAAGCAAGGGTAAGAAAATTTGTTAGTAGGTAGGGGGTCGCAGTAATTCTCATTAGAATAAAAAAGAAAATATAGTCACTACAAAAACAGATTCATAACTTAGGATTCAGCTAGCAACTGTTTCATTGATCATGTCAAATAGGCTATTATTATATTTCTAAAAATAAAAATAATTTACACTTACTTCACTGTCCCTTAAATTTGATGCAAGGTTCTCAGAACTGCTGTTTGACTCTGCCCTAACGAGTTTTGGTTCAGCCTAGTTAGTTCAAAAACGTAAAAAAACACTTTTAACAAAATATAACAACAAAATCTTTATTCCAGACTAATATGATCATACTACATTTTCTAGATTTATAGATATTCCAGAAAGACCAAACAGGATTTAAATTATTTCCAGAGTTCTTTAGAAGGCCATAAAAAATTAAATCAAAAATAGGAAACCACTCTTGCCACCAAAAAATTTAAAAACTAAGAGAATGTGTTTATAATTTTACAATTTTATTAAGGTACTTGTTTTAATAATTATTTCAATTTGACAGTAAAGCATTTAGGTATTTAGGAGGAAAGGCAATTAAAAAATTAATAATGATATTTAAATTTTTGAAGGGCGAGGGTAATTAATTTGGGGATATTGTTTTGTGGCCTAATTCAAAAACTATGTAAATAATGTAGGTCATTTTGGTCTGCCTGAATGTGTCTAGAAGTCAAATTAGACTCTAAAAAGTGTACCAAAAAATTATTATATGTAGAAACTAAACAATTAGTACAACTATTTAGGTAAAATGTTAATGTAAACATACAGAAAGTGTTCAAAGAGCTATTAACTGTTGGGCATAGTTTATCTCTGACTTCTAATGGATAATGTGCATTTACTTATGCAAAGAAGAGAATAATATATGAGTTATGTATTATTCCTATGTTACAAATTATAAACCACTAAAATTTTATTATTCAAATGTTACCTATACATAAAAAAGAAAAAATTTAAAGTTTGAACAGGTGTATTCAATAGATAAGTAATAGACAGGTATAATGATTTAATTTAAATTACATCTAAATACATTGTTTTCTCAAATAAATATATTTATTACCATTTTAAAAGAATAATTTTTGAAAAAATATAAGTAAGTGGCATTCTTTCAATTGAAGACTTTCTTTTAAAAGCAACACATGTCCAAAAATGCCCAAATTGAGTTAACTGTAATAATTAGTGGCTAATTCTTGCATTTACCAGCACAAATGGTGATTTTTTAAAAACTAACACACAAACAGACATATTCCCTGTCAAATATAGAACGTTTCATAAGGTCTATTAGGACTGACCAGGGTTGGCAAGTACAGGTTTTTTAATAACCTAAAAGTGAAAATTCTGGAATTTTAGTTTGTTTAAGATAAATATTAAGAATTCACAATTATACTAAACAACTCTTGGGAGAAAGGGTGCAAAAATAAGTGTATATACAAATAAATTGCAAACATTTCTTCATAATTTAAAAAATACTATTTAGTTAGTTTTCACATTGTTTTTGTTTGTTTGCAGAATATATTTTCTTTTAATATAAAATTCTATTTTTCTAGTTTTGATTTTTTTTGTTTAACTTTAAGTATTTTGTAACAAGTTAACTATACAGTAATAAATTTTGTTAAAAATGTTAATGTGCAGTTTTATTTATTTCTATGACTCTTAACATAAGATTTGGTAACAATATTAATTATAAACTCAATCTTCTCAGTAAGTCAGTTTTGTGACATCGTCTGTTTGCCCCTTACCCATTATATAAAACCTTGAAAAACCTAAATAACCTACATATATACATATATGTTTCAAGATATTTTTCATTCTTAAGTTTTTTTCAACCCTGGGATTGACATATTTTTTGCGGTTCCTGAAAAAAGCTGTTTTTGGACATGTGTCATTGTAAAAAGGTCTTCAATTGTATACTTTTATTAAGTCCCAAAAAACTCTAGTGTATAGTTCTTCTAACAGAAATATCTATATATTCATTAAACAATCCATCTTCATATTTTTATATGTATTTTCTATTTTAAATTAATTCCATTTTTTTAATTTGGTTAGCTGACAAAATAGTTTTAGTGTAATAACATTTTCAAGGTAGTAAAAACAAGATGATGAGATGTTTTACCAAATATTTATATTCTATGTATATTGGTTAATTGATGTATCTAGAATATCATTCACATTCATCACACATAAGATAAAGTGAATAATATTTGCATGAAAAGTAAATTAGTTGTAACAAGATAATAATAACTAGTTTACAGGTATGACCTCCAATGTTTTGAAACCCAAATGTCTTAGATAAATATAAAATATATGGCAAAATGCTGTTTCAATGCGTAGATTAATTTATAAAAATTATTGATGGATCAAGAATTTAATAAATTAGGTACAAAGTTTTCAGTGTTGTTGCCAAGGGATTTTCAAATATTTACTGAAAACAGAACATTATAGAGATTGTTCAGCAAATATTTCTTTTGTAACATTATGTTAAAAACATATTTTATGTTGAATACAAATTTACTCACGTTTTCGCTCGCAATGTTTCTTTTCCTTAAGTCGTCAGACATTTTTACTGTTGGATGTGCAGAAAAAAATTTAATGAACTTGGTCAATAAAACGTTATTAATCCACTTCCCTTTATTCCCCTGGCAAAATTTATAAATCCAATTTGGTAAATTGTGTTTATACTTACAAAAATCAATAAACACAATTTAATAGGTGTAATGGTTTTACGCCATCTATGAAAGTTTTGTTGAATAGATTCTTATTAAATCTAAAATGTAATGCGTTTCTATTTTAATTATTTACAAATCTATTGTAAACAGTCACGCAATATAAATGATTGCAAATATTCTAGATTTTAATGAATAATGAATGGAAACTGGAAACCACAAGAATATTTTAAATTCACTGACAAGTGACAGTGACACATACCAGCTGACATCTGACTTTTGACTTTGTCAAATAAACAAAGACATCTTCATGTGCGTTCGTTTGTTACAAATTTGTGTTTTAAAATAAAATACCACGCTCATCAACACTCGACAACAAATGTTAAGAGCCTCCAGCTAGTTGTTTATAGTGTTTATTCACTAAACATAGTTATTTAGTTTCTTTATTATTTAACGTCTATATTTTTCAACTACGAGGTTTTAATTAGTGATGCTAGTGAGTAGTCACCCTTACCAATAATTTAGCCGAGCACTGAATGTTTCTACTTAGATAGAAATTTTAGAAATCTTTAACGAGTCTATGATCGCTGGTTTTTAGGTCGTTACCTATAGACAGCATAATAATACGACATAGTCGTGGACTTAATTTGTATTTAAATTTTCAAAACTAAAAACTTAATTCAAATTATTACGAATAGTCAGGTTTTTGGAGTCTTATTCGAGCATTAAGGTGTGATTATGAAGACTAGAGAAAAAGAGACAAATCGGCATACTCAAAATACGGTCCCAAAAAACGCATGCTAATTGAGCTTCTATAATTAACCGCATGGGCGCTGGTACTGCATACGTTGTTCAAAATACATGGCTTCTTATGGGAATTATACATAATTTTGTCAAAATATTAAAAATAAACTTGTTTATATAAAGCACAGAACATACTGTTGTATTTATTTCTAAATAAGTCTTGCATGTTTTAATTGATAAATTATTTAATTTTATCTATATAAAATACAAATTAGGTATGTATGACCAAATTCGAAAAGGTTTCTTAAATGCTGAAATTTAAAGTACAATTTTGTGGAAATTTTTTTTTTTTAATTGAACCAATATATAATTTTAAGAGCAAAATAAAACACTGTTAATGGATTTTTTATTATTGAAATACAAGTATAAAGGGAGATTTGGGAAGGTACATGGTATTACCTCATCCTTTAGTTTCAGCTTTCCCATTTTTATTTTGCTAACAGTACCATCAGTAAAAATAGTCTAATAATATCTTCTAAAAAGTATAGAACAGTATCATCTCTAGAAAGTACTTCGGCATTATGAATGATATATATGCTGCCACTGTTCTAAATGTTTAGTATCCTATAAAAAATATTTACAATGACACAATTGAGGTCCAAAAAAAAAAATAACACTAGCAACTCTTTATCGAACATTAAAAATCTATATAAAATTAATTTTCTTTTCTAATAAGTTAAATTTAATGCATAATTATTGTTGTTTGTAAGTCAGCATCTATAACTGTAAAATTTTATATAGAAACTTATAATAAAACGAACTATACTTCGTAAGATACATATATTGTGACTAGTTTACAATAAATATTATATTTAGACATGAATACATTATTTTACTTACATTAAAAGCTTTAAAAAGACATTGAATTGATTTCTTCTTGTGTTTTCTTTAGTTTTACATTTGATTTTTATCCTGTTTTACAATCTGAAACGACGTAAATCTTGCTTTGATGTTTTTTGTCACTCATGTTACTTGTACTCTAGTCTTCATAGGTGTGATCCAACCGTAGTGACTTACGAATCCATTGTTGCAACATTGCAACGCAATCCAACAGTTGTCGTAACGCAATCCAACCACTGTCGTGTAATATTGAATCTGTTGATAGTGTTGATACAAACGAACGCAAATATATTTTGGTATATGTCAATGTCAACACTGTCAACAGTTGTCTGTCAAAATCAAAACAAATGTTGAAGAATATTAGGAGAGTGAAGAGTGAATAGTTTATGACTTCAGCTTTTGCAAGTACTTATCGTTTTCGAAAAATGTTTCTGTACTTATCATAAGCTTAAAGTACATGCACAATAAATGTATAATTTCTTCATGCAACCCGATGTTGCAAACTGTTAATTGTCAAATTTGATTACCCAAATAACATCAGTACAATGCCACAGCAGTTCATCAAGGTAAAAGAAAATCCGGGAACGATACCTAAAGCAGAGTTTAATAATCCGGTAAAAACTCAAGACTGGGATTCAAATTCAAATTTATCAAATTCTATTGGAGATATTTGTCGAATATGTCATTGTGAAGCAGATGCAGATAATCCCTTGCTGTCTCCATGTTATTGTTCTGGAAGCTTAAAGTATGTTCATCAGACTTGCTTAAGGCAGTGGTTAGCAGCTTCAGATACGAGATCCTGTGAACTTTGTAAATTTAACTTTATCCTGCACACAAAGATTAAACCATTTTCAGAGGTAAGTTTGTCTTAAATACTTCTTATTTTGAAATAATAGTAACACCTAAGTAAATAATAAGTAACTCCTCTTATTTAATAATCAAAAGGATGTAAATAATAAAAGGTGAGGTATCTTTTTTCACATAATTTTAATATTTATAATAAAGAATTAATAAAGTAATAAAATCAGATTAAGATAACATTAGATCAGAAGGTACAATAAAATTAAATACGAGTTTATGGGAGGGAAAAATAAACATACTGGGGAGTTACTATTGATTAAAAATGATTTCCCAAATTTTCTATAGCTCCATGTATTTTCTATAAATTTCAACTCTACTGTAATTTATTTTTATTAAATCTGTTGATGTTGTTTTAATAGCAACAACTTAAAATATTTTTTTTAATATAATTGGTCATTTTACTTAATACTATTTTTGAAAATTGTATTATTTCAAAATAGGTTTGAAATAAAATTAAGTATTTGAGTAGATTTAGTTTAAATAATTTTTACTTATAAATTATAAAATTATACATATTGTGAACCTATGCATAGATTGAGTGTAATATCATTGCTATTTTTTTAATTTTATTTATACTATTTGAAATATTACAGTTTGGAATGTATTTTTCTGTTTTTAGCTGATATAAATATTTTTGCATGCCAATGAAAAATATTAAAACAAAGCATAAGAACTTTCAAAATGTTTTCTGTCTAAACTAATCATAATTACAGTTTATGGTTTGAAATTATGCAGGTACACCAATTCTAAAAAATTCCAACAATTCCAACGAAAATTCTAACAAATCCAACAATTTCAATAATTCCAGTAAAAATTCCAACAATTCCTGTTCAGTTCCAAACAAACCCAATAATTCTAGTTTTAAAGTAGGTCTTATAATAACTGAGACAGCAATAAGTACATGCAGTACCAACAATTATGAGTATACTTTTAATTTTTTGCTTTATTTGAAATAGGAATTGTTATTATGTTAGGCAGCTTTTAAAAATAAGAGACTGAAGTCAAAAATTATGCAAATTTGTTGACGAAGAACAAAAATTGTTGTAAGCGAATGTCATATGTAGAAAAAACAAAGTTTTGAGGAAAGGCAAAAAATTATTTTGATCTTGGACTTTTTAAATATTCTTTTATATTATGCACCTTTTATAACACTTGTATCTAAGTACTTATAGGTCTTAAAATCACACTTTTTAAATATAGGCCCCAGTGGGTCTAGTTTGAAGGTGAGCATTTTTTTAGTTTTCGATTTTAAATTGTTTAAACTGTAAGAAAAATAAATTTCAGTCATGTACCTTTCATACATTTTTACAACAATTAAAATAATTATTGATTTGACTATACTTCAACTTATTTCAATAGGACCAATTCCTAACAATTTTAAGTGACCATATGAATTTGCAAAAATTTGATATTTGACTTACCCCATGTAGGGAGGGGAGTGTGCATCTACATTAGTAGAGATGTAGCGATTAAAATAATTAACAAATTTAGGCTATTTTTGATTTTCATGGTCTCTGCAGCTAAACAATCACACATTATTTATTTAACCTAATATCTGATGGTTTGGTGAATTCAAACTAACATTATAATTCAAATTTAAATACCTATACTTTACAGGGTTGGGCTAATTTAAATCAGGTGATTTTTTATAATTAAAATCACTATTAAATTCAAACCTTTTTAAATAAAAAGAAATATAGCAAAGTTATTTTATAATTTCTTTTTTTACTTCTTAGTTTATAACTCGCTGTAATGTGTCATTTTACATTTGTTATGGATATTTGTATACTAATCTGTAAAATGGGTTTCAACCCGTTAATTAATAATAAATAAATAATAATTGATACCTAAGTATGTAGCTTCAACAATATTATAACATACCTATACCTTACAGGGTTGGGCTGATTTGAAACAGGTGATTTTTATAGTTAAAATCATGATTTAAATAAAACTTTTTTGATTAAAAGAAAGAAAGGACGAAACACATCAAATATTTGACCTTAACATTTTTCATTTAAAGGGTTATAATCTATATAATGAGGGTAAAAATAATAAAAATGATGGTACTTAAATGAAAAATTTGATTATATTTGTAAAATAAAGAAAATTGGTGATACAAATGCACTAAAAATTAACATAAAATATTTCAATAAAAACATCATATTAACAGCACTTTACCGATCACCAAATTCAAATGCAAATAATTTTAATCTCGGATTACTTGATAGAAAAATTTAGAGTGCTCTCTATGAGACAGTATGGTTTTAGAAGTGGCAAATCAACAGAAGACGCAATAAGTGATCTGACAAACTGTATCTATGATGCTTTGGATGAAAAAAAGCCTACACTGTATATTTATAGATTTAGCTAAGGCATTTGATACAGTTTGTCATAAAATACTTCTACATAAATTAAAATCATATGGTCTATGAGGAAAAATCTAAGATTTATTAAAATCATAACAGGTTTCAGTGTGTTCAATTAGGTAATACTGTAAGTTCCCTAAATTCCATTAACTATGGTATACCCCAAGGTACTGTACTTGGTTCTTTACTCTTTTCTCTATATACATAAATAGCCTTTTAGAACTTGAATTAAAAGGTAAAGTGATCAGTTTTGCTGATGGATACTGCTATCGTCTATAGTGGTAATTCATGGAGTTAGCTTAAAGAACAAGCAGAAATGGAATTTAAAACAACTAAATTATAAAAAAACTATATTTATTGCTTTTACGTCTTACAATAATAACCTACGGCACTTCGGAACCTTCAATGTTAACAACATAACCATTCCACAAGTTGAAAATATAAAATATTTAGGCATTATCATCGATCAGCATTTCAAATGGGATCTACAAATAAAAAATTTTGTAAACAAAATAAGAGGTTTATTATCTAGATTTAAATATTTAAAAGACATTTTAGACAAAAAACACTTGCACACTCTTTATTTCTCTTTAGTTCAATCTTAACTGAGTTATGGTATACTAGGGCGGGGTGGCGTTTATAATATTTATCTAAAAAATCTTAATATAATACAAAAATGGATATTAAAGATAATCCACAACAAATCGAGAAATTATCCAAGCCATATTTGATTTTCAAAACAAAAGGTATTTGACCTCAGACAACTTTATTTTTGGAAAATAGCGATAAATATATATAAGGGGAAGACTAAACTCGATAAAACCAGACATATGCACCAAACTAGAAATAAAGCAAATAAATATTACTTATCCCGAAAAAACAAATTAATAGGTTGTAGATCTTCTTCATATTTGGCTCCTCGAATTTATAATTTCATTCCTATCGAAATACAAAAAGAGAAAAGTCTTTATTCTTTTAAAAAGAATCTTAAAAAATGGATTTTATGTCAGTCCAGGTCAAATATTGAGAACATAATAAATCAAAAATAAATTTATTCAAAGAAAATAGAAGTATATTCAAAAAATTATATATATAAACAAAATAATACTCACATACCGAGTTGTCAAATTATTTACTCATATATATTTTACTTACATACTGGTCTAAAGTAAAGTAGTGTATCAATTTGCACTATCAGTTTAAATTTATATACCGATTTAGACATATACATATATTTATAGATTTAGACATATATACCAATTTAGACATTTGTTTATACCGATTTATTTATATTTATGTAATTAATTACCATTATTATTTCGTGCCAGGCACAAATAGAATTTTTAAAATTTTCCTTCTGTGGCTTTGTCTTTTGTTTGTTAGCAAATTATTATTGATTCTTAGTTGTAAATTTCTGTATTTTTTTGCTAATAAACACATTATTATTGTTATTATAATATAGCAACGTAACGTTAATAAAATATTTTAAAAATGAACATGAATTGAAATGTGTTAAAACCTTTTATGCATTTTCGCTAAATAATTTAAATAAAAATACTAGTTTTACTACTTTTTCTCTACTCACCTGATTCTTTAAATAGAGTGTATAGCCAAACATGCAAAATACTCATTCTAGCAGGTTAACACAAGAATTTTATTGTTTTATTTGGTAGCAAACTCCTTTGAATTTTTTTATTATTTATTTTAAAAACAATTTTAAAGGGACTGTAAATTGTTGTACCCGTATTTTAATTATTTAACTTGAGAGTAAAAGAAACTTGTAGAAAATGTAGTATAATTAGTCAATTATTGTGTAGCTTTGGGAAAAAATACAAAAAATCCACCACCAAACACTTTGGAGGTCGGATTTTCTCTTAGAGTTGTAGACTATATACAGGGTGTGTCATTCGCAACGCCTCTGTAGGGCATCACTTAAAAAATAATTCAATTATACAGGATTCTCCTGGAAAGTGATACATATCAAAGTTATGTTTTTTAAATGGGACACCATGTATTTTATTTTATATTTTAATTGCCTCGCTTTTCTCATTATACTATACCAAATAGTATGGGATTACTCAGGATATTTTACAGACTATACCCAGTTTTTCATGAAAATCGTATTGATTTCAATGACATGTATACTGCAAAAGAAACAATTGAAAACCAGTTTTTTTACAGTAAAAGCTTTTCGATTTTAGTCAACATTTATGCGGACATACTATTTTTTTTAGTTCAAAACATATAGGTGAGTCAAAATTCAAATACATCATTTTCTCATTGTTTTTAAATTGACCACTATTCAAAAATACCTTAATTATTCTTTCATTTTAGTTGAGCATTCCCTATACCTAAACTTAAAATTTTTTGTGAGATTTTTAAATTTAAATGAAATACCTAAATAATTCATGAAATATTTTAGTTTTAATTTGCCACTTGTTAATTGCCTAGAATTAGTTCAAACTGAATTCTCAGGAACATAGTTAATGCTTCTTGGTATGTTCGGAATAAAAACCTGCATTGAGAACTCCTAGTTGAATCCGAGGTTGAATCAATACCAGAAGAATTCAAGAAAATTGCCAGAGGAAAGAGGACTCCACAAACACATCAACGTTGAAGTACTCCAACTT